TAGTTTATTCTTCCTTTCCGGCATGTTGCGGCACTAACGTAAAAAGATGCTCTTTGTTATGGCTTTTGCAGAGTTTTCCACAGGCTGAGCTTTTTTTCTTCTTTTTTGAAGGTTTTCTTCTTGTTTTGAAGGTTACGTTGCTTATGACTGTACATATGTAAGATCTCTATTCTTGAGTCTGGTTGTCCTTAAGTTCCTTTGGTTGAATCTGGATATTTATTCTTTACTAATTGATGTCAATATTTTACTCCTTCCCCTGGATACATCCTGTTGAGCTGCTCTTTCTGTTTGAAAGCATTTTTCAGGGTTTAAGTTGTCTTCTGTTCCATAGCCAACACTGTCTTTAATTAGGGAATCTTAGTATCTTAAAAACTATTTGTGCCTTTAGCTCTCTAATGTTAATGTCTAGTCTCACTTTAGTTTTTAGATTTTGGTTAAAGTAGTCCCAAACTTCACCCTGTTACTTGAAGAAACACAACTACAAAACAGCCTGGCTTGTCTGTCCAGTTTTAGTTTGTCTTGGGCCATACTGTGCCCACTGGGCCACTGTCATTAATTCCAGTCTTCCCAACATTATTTCTAGCAATGCTGACTCACCCTTTCCTCATCCTTTTTCCTTCAAAAAGGCCATATATAAAAACCTCTCATTTTTTTTCAGTTTCATGGTGAGCTCTATCCTCACACTCAGTTGCCATATTTGTGCAAGCTCTGTTGTTTGCCAAGAATTCAGGTGTTGTGATGCTCTAATACTCTCTTACTGTTCTTTTTTTTTGGGTCTAGCTGCTAATGAGTCATTTTCTCTTCCTCAAACTTTCGTCAGACAGACTGTTGCCACCATGTTTCATATTGTATATGTTGTCAATGGTGGTAGGCAGAAAGTGTGATCTAAAGCTGAATTCTGAGAACTCTTCACACAAGTGCTGGCATCCAAATCATGTGCAAACAGATTGGCTTCCTCTTCCAAATGCTTTTTTGCTTCAGCCTTTGTCTTTCTCCATCTATGCAGCTTGCTATAGCTAGATCACTTTAGTAAAGAATGCTTTGTACTCAACTTTCAGATGCTTTACTGCAGAGAAGTGCAGTTGGTACAGCCATCGATCCTTGGTTTTTCATGATGCTAGCTGTAGTACATCAATAAGTGCTTTCAAAATTAGGCTCAAGTATTATAATGGGCATTGGAAGAGTCAGAGACATAGCACAGAGTGGAAATGCTTCTGGGAGTTAGATATAAAAAAACGGGAAGCAGCATATTGTAGCAAGAGGATTTTACGCTTTGTCTTCTGATTTCTTTTCGCTTACAGTGAAGCATGGTAATCCAGTCTGTAGGTGCCTGATACATTGACCATACCGGCCAGATTCTCATATGGGGGGGAGGGACAAGACAGAGGAGAAATAGTACATTTTTGGAAGCATATGCTACCAAAAGCATATGCATCCAAGTTTTTGGAGGAGTCAAAGAGGACCTAGAATATCCATTCAACTGTGGAAAGAATGGCTGTTTCCCATCATGAAAAGGTGGAGGTCTTCAATGTGTTTCCCTTTGCAAAGAAGCATCACTTTGGTCTTGTCTGGATTCAGTTTGATCCATCTGTTCTTCATTTGAGAGCTAATTTCCTGTAGTTATTCTGATGTTTTATAGTGATGATAGTTGCATCAGAAAATGAGATAAATAGTAGATTGTCAGCAACATACTGTTAGCAATTGAACACATGCCATATCACTCTCTCTCTCAGCGGTCTCATGTAGATAGATGTAGATTGTGTGGATCCCTGTAGGATCCTGAAGATGAGGACCTTGGAGGAAGAGGCTCGCATCCACCACCCTTTTTTGAGTTATGTGTAGAACATAAGATGTAGTACTACTGTGTTGCTGGGACTCTGTAACAGAGGATTCAGGTGTCTGAGAACAGGAATCTGGAGATTACAGTTCCATGGTTGGCGGAAGTTTTATAAATTCCTCCAGGAAGTTGTCAGAATTTCCATCTGTATTTTGTGTACCACTAGGAGCTCTGGTTTTGCTAGTCCTCTGCCTCACAGTGCATATGGATATACTCAAACGCTTTCATTGCTTGGTGGAACATCTTCTGCATCTGACTTTGAGACCACAGGACCCTTCCTTCATGTTTTCTTTGCTTTTTTTTTTTTTTAAAGCTTCTGGTATTTAACTTGGCCTGTTACTATTGGTGTTCTGGTGTCTATCTTGGCTGTTCTTCAGGGTAGCTCTGCTAGGATAGGGTTGAGATGGTATTGAATCATGCCTCAGTGATGCAAAAAAGTCCAAGTGTTTCACCTGAAAAGAGAGTGCAGATGTGTTCTTTTTCTAAGGGGAAACTTTGTGTTTGGCCACATGAACTTCAGATAGTTTTCTTATGCTTTGTTTAATGATGTTACTGTCTAAGCAATTGGCTGCAAGTGCCAGCTTGTGGTGTTTATTTAACATGTGGTGTTCTGGGAGGGTGACTCCTCACCATAAAGATACCAAGGACTTAGAAAAGTAACACATAACGGCATGCAAGGTTTTGTGCAGCCTGGTTTGCCTGGATTTTTTTAGATTCCCAGTGTAGTCTCTACGATTTGAATGTTTGGCCCTTACACATCGTAACAGCAGCCAAGAAGTGTTGGAGTGACAGTCTGTGGTTTGAACACTGGGGTGGTGTTTCATCCAATTTTTTTACAGCTCTTCTGCTGACATGAGAAAGCAGCAGACTGTTATAGGGTGGCATACACCAGAAATGGGGAGATAATGGCAGGAGTGCAGAGCTATGGGTTCTCCAGCAAAAAGGGAGGCAAAAAGGTTAGTAGGTTCAAAACCAAAACAGAACCTCCTCATATTTCTAAGGCTGTGAACAACTTATCTACTTAGTTTTGATTAATTTTCATTTCTGGAGGCAGCACTTTCTGCATCTGACGCTGAGACCAGAGGACCCTTCCTTTTCTTATAATCAAATAGTCAGGGGGAATGTGTATGTCAGGATGAGACTGATTGATTGATAGTTTTTCAGGACTATGGATAATATCTCATGCTACTGTAGTAGCATGTAGTAGTTAAATATGAAGATTAATTGACATCCTTTGTTTCTAATGTTTCATATAACATAAAGATAATTTGGTAGGACTCAATTATAGAGATAGATGCTTTGCATGTCGAGTCAAGGTGCCTGGGTGGAAATTCTGAGGGTTACCATGGGAAAGATTAACAGTTTCAAAATATGTGGATGAGCCTTACCTGTCAAATAGGCCAAAGCAAATCCCTATATTCAGATGCTTTCACTGCAGGCAGGATATTTGAAATGCAAATATTATAGCAGAGGCCTATCTCTATTAAAGCCAAAATCTGAAGAAATGACCTCATTAAGAAGTAATTTCGCATTACAAAACATTAATTATACTTGGCCAATCTCCATCTGCTATGGACTAGAAACAGTGTAGTCAGCACAGTTCTAATGTCAGCGATTCACTTTCATGTGTTATATATACACGGATACATATATACTGTCTGCATTGCCAAAAAAAACTAAGCCTCTTCAACCAACAAGTTTGTTGTTTATCAGGTGCAAAAAAAATTAAGTGTAGAACTGGCATGAATTAATCTGTCTGTTCCGAAGGTTTATCTGTGGCTGTTTAAAGATTCATCCTATTTCATTTATTTCAGTGATTTATCATCAAGTTTATCTTTCTGTCCCTGACTTTTATCTGACAGCATTTCAGTGTACTAAGCTGTGATATGCTCATGTTGTGGTGCTGTTCCTTTCTAAAAAATGTTAGACTGTCACAGCTTACATCAATATATGTCCGATTATAGAGCAAGATATTGTTGCTAAAGCTGGGTGAACAATTTATTATTAATATAATTCGTTAAGGATCAGTCTTTAGGTTTAGATGGATTATGGGGTAATGGGTGAATGAATATGTTGGCTCCTTGACTGCATAAGAGAAGCATTATTCTTCCCTTGCTCTCTTACTTCCCTGCTGATTAACACAAAGGAAAAGAAAAGTCATGAATCCTTCCTCTTTTCCTCCAGGTAGGTAGGTCAGGAAGAAACTCTTGCTTCACTCTCTTTTAATAAATCATTGTCAGAATAGGTTCCTTATGACTACATGAAAGCTGGAGAGCTCATTTCTTACTCCCCCGGGTATCAGCAGACATGCAGATGTGTGCAGAAGGGTGCAGTCCAATGCATGTGCCCTCGTTATGCTTAGTAAGACATTGTGAATAATGCCAGTTTTCCTTACTTTTATGTATTCATTAGAAAATTTGAAGAAACTAACACTGAACTTCACAAACTGCTGTTATATCTAGCTCCCCATAGAAAACCTCTAGTATTTTGTGAGTGGGGGACAGACCATTTAAATTACAAGAGTTGTATTTATTTAGCTGTTTTCTCTGGATGGTAAACTCCTTCAGTATAAGAAACTTCAAACAGAGGAATAAACAGTCACAACACTTATAGAAGAAGAAAAATTTGCACCAATTGCCTGAAACCTTGTAAATGATGAAAAATATAACCTTAAAGACCTTCAAGTTTTCTATAAAAAAAATTAATTTGTTCAATTTATTTAGTCATCTATGTAGGCTGTTATGTACACCCACACACATGCATGAACACACACACATATGCACACGTGGTAAGTTTGTAGTTGTACAGTTAAAAGAGTTTTGAGGAAAATGTATCCTATTTACTGCTTAACTATGTGACCAATGCAGAACTGTAATACAAACCTCAGAAATTTCCATCCCATTGTTTTTTATTACTGAAGAAAGTAGATCAGGATGATAACAGCTGGATGCAAAAAGCAATCATATTTTCAGTACAAAAATAGTGCTATTGTTTAGTAAGCTATACTACTTAAATGTATTAGGGGAATATACTGGCTTGCCCTGGATCGTTTTATTCCTTTTCCTTAAAAATATCTTTCGTTTCCACCCCCCACTAAGAAGGAAGGAATGTTTCCCATTAAGATATGAAGTGAGTTTGTTTTTCACTTTTGCCTTTTATATAGGGATACTGAATATAAAGGACTACAGCTCTCCCTGGATCAGGTCACTGCTACCAAGCCGGCATTCTCATACGCAAATTCAACTCCGACCATAACGGATAATAGAAAGGGAAGCAAATCTCGCCTCTCGAGCGCAAAGTCAAAATCAAGGACATCACCATACCCACAGGTAGTTGTCTTTGAAAAACGAAATTAAATCTTTTTGAATATCTTGATTTTGACTGCTATTTTACCCAAGTAATTAGAATGGGCCAAAGAACATGTTACTCAAAGGGAATAAAGGACGACAGGTTATAAGATCTTGAGGCAGGAATATGTTTCTTTAAACTGTTTCTAAAAAGCTGGAAACATTTATGTTTCGGCATGCATAATAAATCATCATCAACAACAACAACGGCGCAGGGCTCAGGGTTAATGAGGAGTGGAGAGAAGGACAAGTGAAACCGTTGGTTTTGAAATACTTGGTTTGAGAGGATTGTGAGTTTTGCCTTTCGAGAAAGCTTGCTTTTTCTTGCTTTTTAATAATTCCAACATAACTAGAAAGCTGCCAGATGTTTGACAGCAGTTTAATACTGAAATCTTAGTCAGGAGGAGTGAGTTTTGAGGAGGGAAAGCAACAAGCTAACTTGCTGAAGTGGAACAAGAAAGCTTTTCTATGTACAAAGCTTTGAAAGGGAGAAAGCACTAGGAGGTGGCCATTGGCATCAGTAGACTTTAATTTCCCAGATTTCATTTTTCAGGCCTAATGTGTAAGGAACATGTCCCTGCTTGGAGAATGGACCAGACTTGATTGGGTTTCTGAACTGGAGCTTACCTAATACACTTACACAACTGGTTTCTGCAGACAGTGCCACAGTACTTGCACACTTACATTGTCAACCCTTTAGCTCAAATAAATCTGTTTGTTGAAATAACCATTATGTTTACTAAATAATGATGCAAGTCTTACTACTCTTATGCCACCACACAGTGGATATAAATGTATGCATTCATGATGTAACGTTGAAAAGCTATGTATTTTTAAAGAGTCGAGGTCAATATTTAACTGATAATGACCTTGATGACTACAGTTTCTCTGCATGCACAATGTTTTCTAAACTGACCTCTGAGAGTGTACAATGTGAGCCCAAGTGTCTACATCGCTTCCTTGAAGAAAAGTCTTTCTCTTGAATGCACTACACCAAACAACTGTAATAAAACTGCTTTAAAGAATCGGGAAGGATACCTACAATTAATTCTAAATTCGATTTTTAAGATGACTACCTTTGATTTACTCAAATTACTCTTCATCTCCCCTTACGCAGTTGTTTCAGAAGTCCTCATTTGCTAGCAGGACAGTCCCAGCTGAAGACCTGTTATCTTCCCACATCAATCTACTTTCTGAAATTGTGACTTTCATCAGTAGCTCCTTATTCTCTCTGCCACCAGAAAAAATCCTGAACTAGCAGTGCAGCGCTGATTTATCAGGGATTGTTGCCTGAAAGCTCAGGATGTTTAGTCTCCAGTGTCATTTTGCATCCTCATTACCAGCTGCCTAGTAGTAAAGTCACAGATTTCATCATTCAAAAAGAAGCAGCCATGCTAGTTGCCAATACCTTGAAAAATGGTCATACCGTTCATTGTAGCACATCACCACAAGCAACGCTGGCAGCTTGGCTTTGCATCCCTCTCATCCTTCTCCACCACTGAAAAAACTGTTGAAAGACTAAGAAAAGCTGTTGTGAAGAACACGCAGCAGGTGGTATGGCCTGTGTCCCTCAGTCTCCAGCCCACGTAATTTGCCAGTCAGTTGCAGAGAATTAGAGTGTGACTCAAAAGCCATGGCTGAAAAGTGAGGTCATGGGGTTTGGCTTACACAGAAGCCCAGGTTTTGGTGGAGGAAGGAAGCAGGAAGTTTATTAGTAAAATAATGGCAGTGGGCAAGGTATTTCTTAAAGTTTAGGGCACCTACGGGATTTTGAATGTACATACTTTCTCTCTTTTTTTTTTTCTTTTCTTTTCCCTTTACCATTTACTTTGCTTCACTCTTGAAGAGAAAAGGGAATCATATGCTTTACTGGGTGATGGCTGAGAATTCTCTCCCTTGCCAGCCGTGTGTTCCCAGGATAGCTATATGAGATGTGAACTGTATGAAAACCTTGTTAATAAATTTCAGCTGAATGTTTGTTTACTACTAGGGCAAAAGGTGGATGTTTTGGTCACCTGACAGCACTAATGTTTTTTTCCTCAAATCTTATGCAAAAGTATACATAGTGTAAGATGGCATTTGTAGACTCTTTAAGCAAAAACTCAGTTCATTAAATTGGAGACATTGGTCAGCATCTGATTAACACTGCCTGATGTTAGTACAGTGGGCTAGTGGGTTCTATGAAACCAGCCCCAGACAGGGGAAGGGCAAGCAGAGAGGAGAGCAACCCAAAATTCATGACACAGTTGTAGGATTTGCCCAGACACTTTGAACAGTGCTCTTCTAGTCCTGTTCTATCAGAGAGGTGGAGAGCTGAAAGAGGAGGCAAAAAAACAGGAGAGATGAAGACTTGATAGAGATTTGCAGAAAAAGGAAATTATGAGTTGGTTAAAAGATGACTGTAGTTTTCCCCCATAATAATAACAATAATTGTGAGAAGCTCCCAAAATCTAGCCCTGGACCTCATTTATTTTGTGTTCCCAAAAGCTAGCCCTGGACCTCATTTATTCTGTACAAAGGAAATAGCAACAAGATTGGAAAAACATTTTAATTGTGATCATCTGAACAACTGCTTTGGAGTTTAATCGCCCATTAATGATGATTGTTTAAAGAATATATGTAAAATTTTCTGTTGTCTGCCTCTAATGAAAATGTTTTATGGTCAGATCTGGATAAACACTTATTGCTTCATATCTCATCTTATTTCTTGGATAAAGATTATATATATATAAAATGAATGCACGCATACAAGTAAGGATGTACCCAAGAGCTGTTGGATGGAGGCTTTGGTGCGTGTTACAGCACGCATGAATTTTTGGAAGTAAGAGCATTCTTTAGTAGATGTATATTAATACACCTGATTTGGGAGGTAAATTGATTCTATAGCTCCTTTAAACAGATAATCTGGATTAATTCTGCAATCCACCTTTATTTGGTGTATCACCCAATGGGGTAAAGATAACAGAATCACGCTGATTTCTAGTCAGCCTTTTTTTGGGGGGGTTGGTTTTGTGGTTTTTTTTTTCCATTTCTTCCTGTAGCCTAAAGCTTTGGCAACTTCCAGTGTATTCAAAAGCAAAGCAAACCCCTCTTTTTATAGTAAACATAACTCCTGATCTGGTGAAGAGTCACCAGCAGTGGGAGTTATTTTAATGGACATGCTGTATTACTTTAATCTAAGCCTTTCACCATCTGTTCTGCCCATAATAGTGAATGCAAAAAGAACATATTTTACATTTCAGGATTACATTAGTAAAAAGTAAGATAAAAGTGATTTAAAAGCATGCATATGTTCTTAGTACAATGCAGCCCGCATCTGTGATGTTTTTTCTCATGGTTAAGACACAAATCAAGAGTAAAGCTGCTAATGCTGATGTAGTGAAAGTTTTTCATGGAAAAGAGGACTCTGAGAGGCTTTCACTATATATTTAATGTTTATAATGATAAAAACCTGAGTAGGCTGCCAGAAAATTAGATATCTATAACATCTATTGTTTGAACATCTGGCACAGCGTGTGGAGCAGGCTGATGTTGCTGCGTATGACAGGCTGAGTGCTCAGGCCAGTGAGACACCTGTAGGAATGGAAGGTCAGGCAAAAAAAAATAACCCGAGAAACAGTAAATTATCTACTGGCCTAATACACTTCCATGGCCTCTCGTAAAGTAAGTTTTTCTTAGACATGGAATTTATATTTTCCTATTTCCTTGTTCCTTCAGCCCTCCTGAAGTTTTTCTTGGAGAGAAAATAGCATCAATGATGGCCTATAGCCCCTTTCTGTGTCAGTGCTAATCCCGCTGGTGTGCTCTCACTGCGATGGTACACTGGATTAACACTCTGGAAGATATTTCTAGTATCTGGAGGTGGCAATTCATTTTCCAGGAACCAGCTGGAGGACCATTGAATTTATTTATTGTTGTTGTTTATGCCAGAAGACAATTCAGAAATCACCTGAAGGGATTTCAGATGTTGCCTGTCTGAAGTTCCTTATCATGTTTAACTTCTGTCTGCTGGTTAAACTTTGTCAAAAAACAGAAATAATAAATTCTGCCTGATAGGAGCCAGAAGGCAAAAATTAGCAGAAAGGGAAACATATCTGATGAGGCAGGACTGGGACCGAAAAAAAAAATATTTTCACTCATTTTAATTGGCCATAATTTTCATTAAATCTGATTCTTTCATCACTTGACATGTGGGAGCTTAATTCTGACTTGAGAGATAATGTTTCCACTCCCGTGTCAGTAAAGCAGTATCTTTGATCATCCTTCCATTTCTCCCGCCATCAACAGGTCACACATGCCTGTATTTGGACTCTCCACCTGTCAACATCAGATTCCCAGAAGGGGCAGTGGTAGGACTGCAGTGGTAGAGGCAGCCTGACGATGCCAAATAGAGATGTGATTCGCTTTAAAGGGATTTACACATATTTTTGGCCTGTGTATGCTTATGTTGTACCGTAAGAATAAACAGTCATATGAAACCTTGGTAGACAATGTGGGCCACAAGGAATTCACTGTGTTAATGTAATTCTGTCCATGGCTAGCAGCTGCTATGGGTCAGATCTCAAATAATCATAATTTACATAAAGTGCAAAGAAGTATCGTTGGTCTTGACTACATGGTTATATGACATTACATGGTGCATTTCTGATATACTGAACATGTACCCTTTGAAATGGTTTCCCTTTATTTAAGAAAAGTGCATGAAGGCCTGTGCAATTGAATACTTTGTGGTTAGGTTCAAGATAAAAAAAAATTGAGCAAGTTTTCAGTTAAATGGAGAAATTCCTTTCAAGAGAAGCTATGTTGGACACTGAGGTGTCCTTAGAAACAGAGAACTAATAGAAGAATATTTAATACAGCTAAATGAAATTAAGAATTTTTAGTTTGAAAGAATTTCTGGCATTTATCATCATCATAAATTGTAAAAAAAAAAAAGATATTTCATTATAATATGATCAGAAATTAATTTTCCTTGTCCTCCTCATGAAAGAAACACATGCTATGAGTTTTATTTTTAATAAGAAAATAAATTAACTTTTAACATTTTTATACTTACATTTATGCCTATATTATCTTATATTTCAGCTTAACTTTTTAGATTAAAAGATCTATTTTGTAAAAGTCAAATCCAAAAAGAGCGCTAATTCTAAAATTAAGAACAAGTACAAAAGTAGTTTTACTTTTGTGAATTTCCATTTTAACTAAAATTTAATAGTAAAAATCTTGTTAATAATTTCTAATTTTTTCATTGGAAACAATTTTTTTAATATATTTTTGTCACAAAGTTTACAACAATTCAGTCGGTATTTATGAAGATATCTTTGTGACTAAGCAGTTTGGAGACATTAGATCTGAAAGGATAATAGAAGAGTTAGACGTTCTACTTGGTCACATAACACTGTGATGGCTGAAATAAAGTTCCTAGTTAACGTTTGCCAAGTTACTGCCATTTAAAATAACTCTTTTGTGGCTCTTACCTCCATGCAAACTCAGATTTATCCTTTCATGTCTAAAACCTTGCGACGAATATGGTGGTACTAAGTTGCTGACCTCCTCCGTATCTACTGGTAGGCTTTTTGCCTACGGGTGTTCTTCTGACAACTAATGACAAAATATAATCAGGCTCCTCAAAGCCATGACCCTTTCTTTCTTTCCTTTAAATAACCTATTGTGTTAACAAACAGTATCCACAAATATAAACTGGAATACTGAAGAAATACCCAATTAACTGCCAAAACTACTACTGATGTTGCACAGATGGTTTAAGTTACTGTAAGTCAAACATCTGGTCAGTACTTTTGATTGGTATATGCATAAAACCTTGATCTTGGCTGATAATGAAGAGTTTCATAGCAACTCAATCTAATGAAAAGGAAGGTAAGCTTATGTTTTCAGGAGAGAGGCCTAATGCCTATTAAAAGTAAAGGCAGAGTGGGCATCTGGAAGGTGAGTGATAGAATGGGAGAATTCCAAGGTTTCACGTTGTAATACATTGATTTGTGACATGAGTGTGCAGTACTGAAGAAGTGAGCGTGTCCAGCTTTGGTCTCATCCCAATCCGTAACCATAGGTGAAATTGATTTAAAGATGTTGCATGAAGTTTGACAATTCCAATAAATAAAAAGATTTTTAAATGAGATAGCTAAATCCTAGGAAGTTTAATGAGCATTCTTTTTTTTTACTTTCCCCAAAAATATCTAAAAGTTTGAAACATTCATTATGAATGTCTAGAAATCCGTGACTCTTAAGTTAACCCTTACTTGTCTATAAACAAATGCCCATGCTCCTATTCTGTCTGCTTTTCCAGCTGCCTGCTAGCTACTTCTTCTGTGTTGGGAGGGCACTGCTTAAGTGAGGGTGCCAAATGCCTGCTCTGCCTGCTTTGGCTAGAGGTTGCCTTTTCTGGCAAATAGGTTCTGGATTTTCCTTATTTCTGCATTGCAACAGAGCTCTGATTTTTAGCTTCCTACTGATCTTCCGTCACTTTGGAGCTTTACTCTGTAGTAGAGTTGGTAGTCCCAGGATCTACAGGAGGCTTTCTTTTCCCTACTAATAGGAGGAAAGAAGTTCCAAGATACCACTCCAGGTAAGAAGAAAAAATCCAACAACAAACAAAATATGAGGAAAAGAGAGGGAACGCTTAGAAAAAGCACATGCAAACACATTCAGTTTCAATTTGACATGTGAGAATGCTCCGGGAGCTGTGTTATTTCAGTCCCATTTGAAAGCGTTTTGCCGAGGAGCACTGGGGCACCATTGCCGAGCATAAGCACTAGCTTTCAAAGCAATAAGAAAAACCTGGACATATTAAAAAAATATTGAACTGCAACATTGAAGTTGCTGAGCCTAATATTACACATCATAAAGGAGATGGCTATTAAGGGTCGACATGGGATGTTTTAGACTTTCATGAGGTCTGTCCTGTCATCTGTGAGCTCATTACAGAGTGTTGTACAGGAAAGGACTAGGAGTCCAATCAGAAGGTGCAGACGTGTGGGCACGCTCACAAAAAACACCCTATCACATACATAGTCTGTCTTTTCAGTGCAGTTACTTGCAGATTTCACCCAGGCGTAGTAATTTCCCCGCTGCTTCTCCTGTTTTGCAGTATTCTGGATTTCACACTGAGAGATCTGAGTCTGATCACGAGAGCCAGTGGGGTGGGAGCCCCCTGACCGATACAGCTTCTCCGCAGCTATTGGAGTCCGTAGAGAGACCGAGCTCCCAGCACCACGATGTCTCCTGTGCCTACAGACAGTACTCAGACCGCAGTGCTCTCTGCTACGGTTTTGCACTTGACCACTCCAGGCTGACCGATGACAGACATTTCCATACTCAGGCCTGTGAAGGAGGCAGATGCGAAGCTGGCCGGTATTTCCTTGGCACTCCGCAGCCAGGAAGGGAGAGCTGGTGGGGTTCTCGTTCAGCATTGCCCCTGACTAAGTCGTCCCCTGAGAGCAGAGAGGCGTATGAAAACAGTATGCCCCACATAACGTCAGTGCACAGGATTCATGGTAAGAGATAACAAGGATTTGCAGAAGTGGCACCACTTCAGATAAAGCAACATGACATAAACATGCAGCTGTTTATGTGAGAGACAGAAAATGAGAGAGACTCTTGATGTATGCCCTTGTCTCAGAGATCACATCTACAGAGATGAGGAATACTTAAAATTCACGTTGAATTTGACAGTCTGGCTTGTATGCAGCAAAATATAATTTTGTTGTATGTTTTTTAATCTGTGAAATTAAGGTGGAAATATCTGACTGGTGAGATTTTAAGGATGATCTTAAAAATATAAACAAAATGATACACTTGGTAGAAATGTGTTCTTTATTTGATTTAAGACCAAACTACTTTGGATGGAATATATTTAGCAAAAAATTACAATTAAATCCAAGCTAGATATTAAAAATCTTTAAAGTTTTTGGAGAAATTGTTCTCCAAATGACTTTTTTCTGTGCACTGGTTATTACTAGATTCTGTAAGATTTGCTGTTTATTTTTATTTAAAATTGACAATTCAAATTAACAGTTGCTTTTGGTTTCAGACATTTATTCTCAGCCAATTAGAGTCTCTCCATCCTTTCAGCACCAACCCTGATGCCTTGCTCAGTGTCTGGCAGGTTGCAAACTCAGTGCATTAGCACATCTTCAGTGGCTGAAGCTAATAAAACAATCACAGTGAAAGGCTGATCTGGGATTTGGAAAAATCCAAAGATCCTTGGGTTTAAAGGGTAGCCTGAGAGCTGAAAGACTGCAACTGACCCAAAAGTCAGAGTTCAAGGTTGTAAGGATAGATGCAGCATAAAAAAAAAAAGCTTTTCTACTAAAATAATCTGTCAAAACATAGGTTGTATCTAAAGAACTCATAAAAGCTAATTACATTAGTACCATTCCATTGACTTGCAGCATGAGGCTTTGGAAATCAAGAACTGTACTATTTTACTCCAATCTGAGGAAAACTATGCTGAGATTAGAAAAATTAATCAATAGCAAGTTCTAGGAAATACAGTCAGAGGAAAAATGAGGAAAGAAAAGGAGCCCTAAATTTTGCTGATGAGGACTGTTCTCCATTTTTCCTGTGAGAACACACCTCCTTCCTTGTGTCTGTTCTGTACTTCTGTCATATTTGTGTTTCTCTAGCTTTTTCTTCTCCAAAAAAGAGAATTGAGTGAAGTATGATAATTTTGCTGGCAAATTTTATGCATGATAATTCTTGCTGACCACAGAAAGATAGTAAGGTATAAATACCATACGGAGGTACAAATACAAAATACAAAAATGTTAAATTCCGTAGCTTTATCAAGGATAATCAATGCGAATGGATAATATAATTGGTATTTTTAGTTTGTTCCTTGGTTTTGCTGTAATTCCAGGTGCTGCAGTTATTTTCTTTATTCTATCAAGTTTTATGTGTTTCAGCAGGCCTTCAGTCTGCATGTAGCTTTGGGTGTAAAACCTGACATGTTGGTCTTAGTTGAGGAGTGGAACATCTCAGCCTCTCTTACAAAGGTGTCATTTTCATTTAGATTTAGGCAGCTACAAACCTTGGCCTTTCACAAATGAAACTCTTTTTGACAATACTATGTGAACGTTGCTGTCAGAGCAGTTTCTTTGGGCAGAAAATATTTTCTTCCTTTTCTGTTCTTTTAATGTATCTTCTGGTAGTTCTGGCTCAGAGTCACCTTACAATAATGACAATTAGCTGACCAGTATGGCAGGCCCTGGATATTGTGTATGAGCCCACGTACTTCTGGTCACACTCAGGAAGTCTGGGACACTGCAGATATGGTCTGTGCAGGGAGACAAACTGAGCCCGTGGTTTAGAGCCGCAGCTGACCAGCTCCCCAGTGTGTCATGGTATGCCTGACGTGCCATGTGCTCTGGTGGCTGGAGTGCACTTCCACCTCCAGGCCCTGACATTTTGGGTCCAGATCTTAAGAGGATGTGAAGGATAAATTTATGCTCATGAGATACTCCACAGTGCAGTAATTCCACCTACAAATGGCAGGATACGTTTATTATAAAAGCCTATCACTGATTTTTGTCATGAATTCTGCAACACAGCAGTAGTGGTCTGCCACCCAAACAGATCTGTATGCCTTAACCCAACACAGAGGACGGTCTGCTAGTCTGAAAAAGAGTTTCCTTTGAGGAGTCCTGTCAACCAACCCAATGGGCCTTATCCCCAAAGAGAACTTTGTATGTACTGAGGCAAAAGCATCTTTAAGTAAATTGTGCAAGTCCAACACATGCCTTCCTTCAGGCATGTATCTCAGCAAATCCTTTATCAAGCCCTTTATTATAGTGTGGCCTTAGTTGGCTGTTCAGGTTTGGGGGTCACTCACTTTCTTCCTAGTGAGGATTGACAGGTCTGATTCTGTCCTTTCAGCTACATGCAAGCTGAACACCTTCTCTGATATGTCTGTGGGCCTTATTTTTTAGAAAGAGGTAAGAATATAGTTATATTTTCCCATTCTAAAAGTTTTATATAGCAAATATTATGTGTTGGGATATGACATCGCATTTTTACAGTAATCCTGTCTAACAGCCATGCGTTCTTATGCTTCTAAAGAACTGCTTCATTACTTGTGTTTATTTGTTGTTGTGTAACCTGTGTAAAGTCACTAGAGAGCCACAAACTATTCCACAATGCTGTCTCTATATTGTAGCTCCTGGAAAGGCCTAAGAAGACATACTGGAACGATGTACAATTCCTTGAGATTTTTGTTTTCACCACAGTCCCAATTCACTCAGACTTTGTTGATGCAAAGAGGTAGTGAGGGGTCAGGGGCTTGAATATCAGTGTTGAGGGCTCTTTGATATGCCCTAGGGTACCCTGCCTGGTCTCTAGCTGCTTCAGAAGACACAGAGTTCCCGTAGAGTTGGTGCCATACCTTCTGGGCCTATGCAGATGCTCGGTTACCCTAGGGCATCTCAGATGGCACTGGATGTCTGTGTTGAGGTGGTTAGATCTCTTTGTATATTTTCAGCTGTGTTACTTGTTCCATGTGCAGACACTGGAAACTAGAGGTTGTCACTGAAAAGCAAGTGGTCTACCATGGTCATTTTTGATGACTTTGTTACGAGTCACTGGCCTCTGTTTTGGTTTTCTGTCTGTAAAATAAGGTTCAGAGTACTTGTTCTTCAAGATTGCTTGCCTCCTTCAACCTCAATGCTTGTCCCCTTTCTCTCTTTCCTAGGGAGAGGACACTGGGACGAGGACAGTGTTGTTAGCTCACCTGACCCTGGCTCTGCCAGTGAATCAGGTGACCGATACCGTACTGAGCAATATCAGAGCAGTCCGCATGAGCCCAGCAAAATTGAAACTCTAATAAGAGCCACCCAGCAAATGATTAAAGAGGAAGAGAACAGACTACAGCTGCGGAAAACAACCCCTGATCCACTGGTCTCCATTAATGGCACAGGGAAGAAGCACGCTATCTGTTTTGCAAACTACCCTCAGCAGCAGTTGGCAGGGGATGTCTGCCGCGTCCCGACGGTTGCCAACACTCCTCCCTGTGAACACATCCAGCAACAAGATGGAAAGATTATGAGCCCACACGAAAATGACTATGACAACAGCCCCACAGCACTGTCTAGGATAAGCAGCCCCAGTTCTGACCGAATATCAAAATCTAGTTTGGTACTAGGTAAAGACTACCTGCATTCAGACATGTCCCCTCATCAAACCCCAGGGGACCACGCAGCAGCCTCTCCAAATTATTACAGCTCCCACAGGCAGTACTTTGATAAGCATGCTTACACATTAACTGGATATGCCCTGGAGCATCTATATGACACTGAAACCATTAGAAACTATTCACTAGGCTGTAATGGATCACACTTTGATGTGACTTCTCACTTAAGGATGCAGCAAGATCCAGCACAAGGACACAAGGGAACATCTGTTATAATAACCAATGGAAGCTGACACTTTTTTTCTGAAAACTTTTGTGCTTTAAAAAATAACTTTTGAGATATAATTGGAAGATATTATATGTTTTCATGCCCTTGTCGTTACCAGCATTTGATATACCACAGTGCACTAGAAAGAATAACCTAAGGTTTGGGAGGATAACTTAGTTAACACACATTACTTTTAAAAAATAAAAATGCACTGGCATGTAGGGTTAGAGTGAATGGAGCTAAACTCAAAGCTGGTGCCATGCAAGGTGAGAAGGGTGGAAGAGGTCTGGGCAGGGAGCGCTTGGGGCAGGCTAGCAGAGCAATTTATGCACATTGTGTAAGAGGTGGCTGTTTGGAAACACTGCCAAGGGCAGAGCTTCTGAACTGCATGTGCCCCACAGGTCCCAGCCAACAAAACTGCTATGCACTCTTTTTCACACAGAAAGTTGGAATGTGTTCCTTCGAAATATACATCAAAATGTGTACTTCTGGTGATCTGTTTATTCCCTAACGGCCAAGTGTGTTATGCTACTCCATAGTATAAACCATCCATGGCTAACCAATACAAAATCAAAAAGGAGAGAAAGAAAAGAGAACTTCTCGAATTGTTATTTCCTTGTGTACTCACATGCATAGCTATTTACATATGCTTGATTTGAAAGGAGTCAAATGAGCAGTATCCTTATGATTAGTACGATCAAATATTTATTTCTACTGTATTGAAAAGAAAGAGGGCCTTTCTCAGTATAGTTTTGAGAAATACCTAGGGCTTGGTTGTCTTGATGTAGAGATGGGACATTGTACTCATATTTTTGAAAGGTTGCACAAGGTGGGTAGTGGAGTGACATGGAAGAAAATTGTCAGGAGAAACAGGGAGAACAGGCTGGAATTAGAAGTGGTCCAAGATAAACACATTTAACCCTATGGCTATGTATGCCATTTAGTAATAATGATAAAATAAGGAAAAATGGTTCTAAGTGGCCAAATAATTAAGAATTAATTTGAAACGCAGAAGGAACTCAATAGAATCATAGAAATTTTGCTGTAAAATACAAAGGCAATTACATAAGTGTAAAAATATGAGAGGTGAGAATAGACAAAATCTGTATGGCAGTTTGTCCTACTTCTGATAAAGTTTTTGAGTAAATTAAGAAAGTATAGAAAATTGTACTACTCTATCTGACATACAGTAAAGTAATAGGTATGACTTTGAAAAGGAGATACGCAGTCTTTTCTTGCTTGCAGCAGAATATTTAATGAATATCAGAACATATTAGGGATATCAAAATCAGTCATATGTACATAAAAAAATACTGAGGGAAATCAGGGTTCCAAGAAATTCAATTGTATTAAGAATGCTGATATTATCAGGGCCTGTCATAAAGTTATAGAAGACATCAAAAGAGGCAGAGAAACTTTTTGCAATTTTTAATAATCTCATGAACAAAGAGACACTAATTGATTGAAAAAGAGTAAATTAAAACCATATGCTAAAAATGTAAAATAGGGCATTTGTAGGCACAATTGCTAGACCTGTCCTTCTTTGTATGGCATTTATATGAAGTCTCACAGTTGACTGCAACAGGAGCAGGATCACCGCTCCCTATTACACCAATGTGGAGGTAAGGCGACTTGAGGTGGTTACTAAAATGAGAGTAGCACTAAGTCTAGCTTCATTTGTAACATTAAGAAGCTCGACATATGGGACTGAGTCATCAATGGGACTAAATATAAACCAGCATGCTACGGGTGGGTTAAAAATATCTATTTTCAAATAAAGCTAATCAGAAGCAAAAGCTAAATAATAACATTATAAGCCACGTAAGTAGAGATATACTTGAAAGCAGAGGAAATTACCTCTCTGAACTTGGAATACTGTGTATAGTCCTGATCACTCCAAGGCAGATTGTGAATCTTGAATTGAGTAGTACCTTACTCCATAAGCAATCTTTGTTGACTGCAGTGTGATCACTCCTGGTGAAATGTACATTGAACACAAGGAAGAGCAACACAGTCTGGTCTTTATTATCTAAAGCTCATAATAGAAAAGGTGGAGCAGAGCTCAGCAAAAGATAAAGAGACTGAAAGATCTAATAAAAACTTTAAATAAACTAGGTCTGTCATCTTTGTAAGGGAAAAGAGTAAGGGGGAGCGTCACTGATGTGCACCAAGCTCTGCACAGAGGAGAGATAAATAATGGTCTAAAACTATTTGAACTAGCGGCAGAAATGAGAGACAGGGCATTGAATGTTAGCCAAGGCAAAATGAGAACAAAATGATTTGGCAAGAAGTTTATTTGACTAACTGCCAAATGAATAACAAAGGTCATAAAGAGAAGCATCTAGAGATTTTTGTTTGTTTGTTTGTTTGTTTTAAGATAAAAACAAGGCAAATAACTGAGGGGAAGAAAAACATTGACAACTGTTAACTCAGAGGAAGGGATGGACCAAAATGGACTTCTTTCAGCCCAACAATTGTATATATTCCTAAAGCATAGGAATGAGAAAGTATTTTTGATAAACCTGGTTCTGGATACATATTTATTTCACTTATTCCTATGAATAATATGAATAAACTTGTATTTGGAGTCTCATTGTACAGTATTAAAATACAATTTGCAAAGCTAATTAGAGTAGAGGTACATGGTATCATATTATCCCTACTAGTACATATAAAAATAAGTCTAAGTGTCAATATTATTTTGTATTACAGAAGAGTTTCCTAAACTCTTTGGATGAATGGGATTTTGTCAGCACCCAAGTTTCTTGGGATCACCAAGCACTCTTGTTATCAAGCTTTTAATTAGAAGGCAATAGAGTTCTGCAGACCATCTGCACTTGCCTGGCTATGGTCTAATGGCCACAAGTAGTCAGGAAACCACAGTTTGGGCATTGTTGTATTTGCATTCTGACAGGCACTTTTGAAAAATAGAAGACTTATAAAACAAACAGGCACAATATAAGATGCTTGTACTCTATAGGATTTTACCAAGGAAAAAAGCCAGTGTGTTATGCAATAAAAATTCCCCATTCTTATTTACTGTGATTCCAAAATAAAACTTCCCAAACTGTAGTTATTTATCCTATTTTCAATAGTTCCAGTTCACTACAATGACAAATGCAGCAAAATGCACTGTAATGAACGGAATACATCAGTAGAGAGGTCTGTACATGCAGCCATGTTGTGCTTACAAGAAAGGCTGATGCTCACTCCCCTCATGGGATTCCAGCAACTGGCACTCCTTAGCACTTCAGTACAGTCTGCCGGAGATGGATGCCTTTTGTCAGTTAATTTGCCATCCTGCTTCTTTAGATAGCCAGGAATTTCTTCTTAATTGACAGAAAGCACTGAATGTTGTAAACATAGACTCCACATGCTACATGCTACATGAAAGCAAGTTTGCAATCTTAATTATAGCATATAATATCACTGCAGCTCATATTACATGTACTTTTCAATATGATATAAAGCTTATTTTTTCCATTGCATATTTATTTAATTCAAATTTTCATTTAGTATCCTTCAAGGATATCATCTGCTTCCTTTTCTAAATCAGATAAGATGAGATGAGATATTTTGCAAAACTGAAAAATGCAAGGCATTTGTACCAAATACATTTCAAATGTATCACATATTAGCTAAAGGCTATCACTTTAAATAAGGTATATAGATTGTGTTTTGGAACAGAAACAATATAAATTGCTGTGTTGCATCATTTCTCTAACATAATGCTGTTTCACTATTAACACCAAATTAATATTTTGTAGCTACTCCAAATACAGAGTGACCACAGCTCTTTCAAACCATTTCTTATTGATATCAGTGGATTATTAATTAACCATTATGATTTTGGTGCATTATGATTTTGGTATATCCCTTTTGTTTAAAGAAGCAAACCCCCCCTCTCTTCTTTATACAAAACTGCACCCCAGGGGCACGGAGTTTGTAATTTTGGACAAATTTGCAAAGCAATTCTTAAATTAGAAGAAGAACCTTACTCAGCAATTTGTCCCATTCACTCAGATGGGAATATTTGTGGAGTAAGGTACTACTTAATATGTGTAAGGGCAAAAAGCTGACTTGTGAAGTGGCAATAGGTTTGAGGTTTGTTTGTAATTTTTTGTTTTTTTTAATCTCAAGATGTGAGTATGGACACTATGGAACGTAATAGCTGTAATGGCTGTGTTTCTATAATGGAGGTTATTTGTATATGCTTTGAAAAAATGAGTGCATCTCTTTGCACTGAAGAACCCCAGAAGTATTTCTTAAGCTTTAAATGGCTTTTGTTGATGTGTCCACAATACTGCCACAGGTTACACAGTGAAATTCTACTCTTTTAAACTTTTAATCACTCTTCTCTGATCTCATTTTTATCTCTGGACACGCAGCATTTATTCATTAATGTCCCTAAGTATGTTAACCACCATCTGTTCATTTATGTGAATATCCTGAGTGAGTTGGAAAAAAATAGAAGGTTGCATAGTATTTCTGGAAAAGGCGCAGCCACCCCAGAAAATCAAACTAGCTGTTCGAAAGGTCAGTTAACCTTTCAGTCAAAGAACAAAGCTGCAGCATACACATTGGTTTCAGACCTTCTGCATACAAAGCTGTATATAATGGGGATTATAGCACACAGTTCCAGGATTAGACCTAGCTATGTCTATTTTAAGGTGGCTATAGTTAATGTCTGGCAGCAAATGGGTTCAAGCTCTGGTCTTTCCATGAGTTGCAAGTTTACTTAAAACACCTAAGAGTCTAAAGGCAATGCAGGCTTTGTTATTAGGAACAATGGTGGATGAACATGCTTTCCTGTATGTATACTGGATTAGCTCCAGACACCTCCACAGTGTGGCGGAGAACCTGTTTTATTTTATTAGCAGTTAGTATTGATGGTTAAATATTTTGGCTGTATGCACTGAGAAGCAAAAAAAACCAAACCCAAAACCAACAACAGAAAAAACAAAACAAAAAAACCCCCACAGTTTTTTTCTGTAACCCTTCAGTTTGGTGTTAGTAAAGCCTGCT